AGCCATTTGGGCTCGAGCGTTCTGCTGGGGCCTTTCCCCGCCTAACCCACCAGCGCAACATGTGCGCAGCCGCAGACGCCGCAGCCAATGCGCGAGGCCAGGGCGGCGTTGTGGCCGCGGGCCAGCACGCGACAGTGGAGGCGATCTCGGGCGAGGCCGGTCCAGAGGTGCGTATCACGATGAGTGTGCCCTTCGAGTTGAGGTCGATGGCCGAAGCCGAGTTGGATATCAACGAAGCGTTGGTGGTGCTGAGGGGCCCGAAGGCGGAAGAGGTGTTGGCACCGCTGCCCGACGGGTTCCGTCTCGATCCCGAGCGGGCAGCCGCGAAGTACTCTCGCAAGACGCGGCAGCTCGTCGTCTCCGCGCCCAGCGCGTGGAGCAGCCCGGGAGACCAGGCGCTGCCCCTGGACCAGCAGGCCACGGCCTCTGCGCACGCGGAGGAGCCGTTGCCTGCTCGGGAGCCGCAGCTTGCGCAGCTGGCGCCAGAGCCGCCGCCGGCTCCAGAGCCGCCCGCGGCGCCCCAGGGCAGTCCGGAGGCCGTGGAGGAAGAGGACGAGGACGACGACCTGCCGCCGCCCCTCGAGGTGGCGCGGAGTGCCGCGGCGAGAGGGGCTGCTTCCTCCGCCAGCGCTGCGACGGGGCCTGCACAGACAGGGCCTGGTGGAGGGGCGGCCGAAGGGAACGAGGCTCCGGGGCGTCCGAAGAGGGGGGGAGGACTACGGTCAAACCGCATCGTCAGGATGAGTAACTTTCCAAGGGTGTGCCCTTGCATCCTTGCCCATCGGCCCATCATGGCCTCGAGCCGCTCGCCCTGGGCCTCCAACTTCGACTTCGGCTTGGGCGCCCTCAGGGGCCCGGCCCTGCACCCTCACCGCACACCCTCGTGATCCGGTCGCGCTGCAGGGAGACACGAACGTCACGGCCAGGGCCATGGAGCCTCCCCGATGTCATGGCCCCCTCCTTCTCTTCTCCAGGCACGTCCCCCGGCCCCCCCTTGTCCGCGCACGTGCGTCTGGCCACCATGCGCTGAGAGCCGCCTCCTCCTGCCCCCCCCCCTCTCGGCGCGCCCCGAAGGCCGCGGATGCGCTCATGCAGAAGGCCCTGGCGGCCCGAGAGCAGAAGCGCCTCGAGGGCGAGGCTGCCCGGCGAGGCGCGGACCTGAGCTCCAGCGGCGGCCTGAAGAAGGGCTTCCTCTCGGGCGGCAAGTCTTCGAAGCGCCGCGAGCCCCCCGCCGCGGCCAGCGCTGAAGAGCCCATCACTCGGGCAGTGCCAGGAGGGGGTCACCACCAGGGGATTCGCCACCTCCTGGAAATCGACGATCGAGAGGGAGGGGGGATCAAGGGTCAACGAGAGTTTGGACGTTCTCGGGCGTCTGCAGGAGCCCAGGGGGGTCAGCGTGGGTCCGTTCCCTCCACGAGGTGGCGACTCCCTTAGTGGCGCCCCCCTTGGCAATGCCTGGATCACCTATGTCGCGGGCAGCGGGGACGCTGAGTCGGCGCGGCGCGAGAGCCTCAAGCTCCCTGAGGTGCAGGCTGCGCTGAGGGATGGCGCCAACAAGCTGCGGGAGGACAAGAGCTGGGTCACGCCAGAGCTCCTCAACGCAATGCAGTCGCGGCCAGACCTGCTCAAGGGGCTCTCGGACCCCAAGATGCAGCAGGCGATGCAGCTGATGCAGAGCGACCCCGAGGAGGCGAAGAGGAGGTTCGGCAACGACCCGGGGGTCACGAGCTTCCTGAAGGAGTTCAGCTCGCTCATGGGGACCCACTTTGACATCCTCAGCAAGAGCAAAGAGCCAGGCGGAGCCTCAGCCTCACCACCGAAGGCGGAGGCTGCCAAGAGCAGCGCCGCGCCTGCACTGCCGGCCCCTCCGCAGGCCCCCGGCGGCGGGGAGGCGCCGCTGCTGCTGGAGCCGGAGGTCGAGAGGGCCTTCCGCGATCCCGAGGTGCAGGCCCTTCTGGCCGAGCTTCGGGCGGGCCGGCCGCTGGAGCTGCACGAGCTGCGGTGTGCAAACCCGCGGCTCTTCATGAAGATGAAGGTTCGGAGGTGAGCGTTTTCTTTGTTCCTTCCCGGGGTCACGCTCGTGAACCGGGCCCCCCCCCCCCCAGGTGACGCCAACGATCGTACTAGGGGGGTGGCCTGGACCCCCCCCTTCGTGCCGTGGTGCGCACAGGCGACTGATGCTGATGCGCTGGTGGCGCGCGGACGCACCCTTGCGGGTGCACGCCGCGGCCGCGGCCGCCGTTACCATTACCCTCGCGCCCGACCCCCTCCCTTCCCTCGGGTAACGACCGTTACCCAGGAAAGAATAAAAAACAAAACAAAAAAAAAAAAAAAAAAAAAAAACGGTCACGAGGAGGGCAAGTTGAGGCAGCGCCGGGCGGGGCCAGGCCAGGGAATATATAGATGGTTCCAGAGCGCGTTCCGGAACGCTCTCGCAGAGAGCGCTGCAGCACGCCCGGAGGAGGCCGCGGCGGCCGAGGCAGCCTCGAAGACCGCTGGCTCCCAGAGAGGAGGGGAAGAAACACACAGACACAATGAATCGTCGACTCCCAGGAAAATATGGGAAAATATGGGAAGTGGTGGGGGAGACAAAAACTCAGAAAATATGGGAAAACATGGGGAATCCTTTTGTTTGTGTGTGTGTGTTTATTTGTGTGTCCCAGGGCCCCTTCACCCAGAGAGCCCCGAGTCGTCCTGGTCCGAGTGAGTCCCTGTCCTGGCCTCGTCTTGCAGCGCCAGGTTGGCCTTGGGGGGGGCCTCGCGTCGCCGCGGCTGTGAGCGCAGCTCGGAGACCTGGTGCCCCTGCACCCTGGGCTTGGCATCGCTCGGACGTGTGCATTTTTCCTCCGGCGAGGGCCATCGAGGAGCATCCTTGATCAGTTGGCGAAAAAGCCACGCACGAAACCGAAAAAACACAGGGAATAGACGTCCGAGCGATGGCGAGGGTCCGAGTGAGTCCCTGGCCTGGCCTCGTCTTGCAGCGCCCCAGGTGACCTTCTCGGGGGGGGGCCTCTCGTCGCCGCGGCGGAGCGCAGCTCGGAGACCCCTGGTGCCCCTGGACCCTGGGAGGGGTCCCTCCTCCTCCTCCTCCTCCTCCACCTCCTCCTCCTCCACCTCCTCCTCCTCCTCCTCCTCCTCCTCCTCCTCCTCCTCCTCCTGCTCCTCCTCCTCCTCCTCCTCCTCCTCCTCCTCCTCCTCCTCCTCCTCCTCCTCCTCCTCCTCCTCCTCATGCTCCGCCTGCTCCTCCTCATCCTCCTCCTCCTCCTCCCCCCTCCTCCCTCCGCCTTCGTTGCCGCTGTCTCGATGCGCCCCGTTCCGAAAGGTGCTGCTTGACGCCGGCCTCTTGGGGCTGCAGCGCTGAGTGCCGAACCGTCTATTCGGCGTCGGCCGGCGAGGTACTGGGGAGAGCTCCTCATCGTGAGGTGGAGAGAAGGTTCCTCCTCGCCGTGCCATCGAGGAACAAAAGATGGCATCAGCACAAATTTTCAGAGGTCAGCGCGGTTTCTTGGATCGGCGCTGGAGCCCCTTGGTGGCGCCTCCAGCGCCGCCCGGGTCCAGCGCCGATCCAGAAAATCAACGCGGACCTCCGAAAGTTTGTGTTTTTTCATTTGTTGCTCCTCGATCCCACCCCGCTGCCCCCGCCCTCCACTCCCCGCCCAGCCAAATGTCTAGCGCCCCCCGCGTTCAGTGTGCTTTTTCGGGAAAGGGAGGGTCAACAGGAGCAGAGGGAAGATGAGGAGAAGCATGACGAGGAGCATGGAGTGGTGGAGACGTCCTCTCGCAAACCTGCACGTTGCCTCTGCGCTTTCATATGACCCACAGCTATGGATCTGACCCCTGGGATCCCACCCAATGTGATGCGGAGTCGAACAGAGGAAAGCGGACCCCAGTGCAAAAAGCTCCCGCTAGCCCATTTAGAGGGTGGCCAGGAGCAGGACATCGTCAAGAATGAGATGAGGTATGAATCTGGGAAAGATACGGAAAAAGATTGTGGTGATAGTGATGTCGATAATGTTGGAGAAGATGCAGATGATCACTACCGCGTTGTCGATCATGGCGATGGTAATGTTGAGTGATGGATGGTGATATTGATGACAAGGGTTAGCATGCGGGTGACCACGATGTTGTTGTCGTGATGGTGATGGTGATGATGATAGTGATGACGACAACGGTGATAAGTACAATGATTGCACTGGTGGTAGTGATGGCATTGGTGATCTGTATGATGACGACGATGATGGTGAAGATGTTGATGGTGGTGGTGATGATGACGATGGTAATGATAGTGCGTGTGTGTGATGATGTGGTGGTGGTGATGATGGTCGCCACAGGACACGTGTGTGTGTGTGTTGGCGTTCCTTCTCCAGGCGATGCTCCAAGAAACCAAGAACCCCACCAAGGATGCGGGTGAAATCCAGTCCGAGTGAAGGTGTCAAGAATTTCGGGGTCCACGTTATGAAAATCACGACGCCGGAGGTCTGAACATGTCGCGTCCAGCAGCGGTGCTCTGCTTCCAGAACGCCGGCCACCTGGCTTGGTTTTCTGCCGCAGAGTCCGGCTACACGTGAGAATGACCTTTGGCTGGAGTGACCTTTGGTGCAGGCCCATTGGGGCCCCCCAATCGCCGAGCTCGATGCGATGGAATAGCGTCTTCTGCGCTTGTGTTTGGTCCACACACGGCCCCCCAAAAACGGCAAAGGTCACGCCTACCCAGGGCCACTCTTGCGTGCAGCCGACTGGTTGGCTTGCGAGAGGTCTCAATCTGCCCTGCCACCGTCTGAGTCTGTAATCGCCCCCTCCGCACCCCCGACACGCTGCGCAAACGGATGAATACTCTGCTTGCAGGGAAGAGGTAGGGGGCCAGCGCGACACTGCTCTGATACTTGACGGCTTCAACCAGGAGTGAGGAGTGAAGAGACTCGGCGGCGAGCGAGGGGGGAAGTGAGAGAGGGCGGGCCTTCCCCGAAGGCTCGGAAGCCCCCCAGCCTGCTGAGCAGTTCTCTTGGCCTTCCCCCAGGACGCAGAAAACCCTTCCGAAGGCCGGAGGGCTTCGGAGACGCCCCGCCGCCTTCTGGGAGAAGGCTCTCTCCTCCTCACTGTCCCCCCGCGCTCGCCGCCGAGAGACAGGGACGCTCCTCGCACCTCCCCCCCCTCATCCTCCCAAGAGCACGTGCAGGTTCCAGGGCCAGCTGCCGCAGGGAGGTGCGGCAGGGCCGCTGCCCGCACGGCAGGGGAGGCGCAGCAGCCGTGCAGCGCCGCGCAGGCGCCGTGCAGCGCCGGAGCCGTTTCGGCTGGAAGCTGCGGAGCGCATCGGTCGGGGATGGGCAGAACCCCCAACAGTGACACGTCGATTCGTGAAGTGTCCGTTCTCGGCTCTCGAGGGGGCGCCGCGGCCGTCGGTTTTCCAGGCCTGCGCCCGCCAGGTCTGGGCCCGAGGTCGTTTTCACTGAACCACGTTCTACTAAAGGGGAGGTCTGTCCATCCCCGAATCGGGAGGGCCTGGGCTCCTGGGAGCCATGAGCAAGAGGAAGAGCCACTTCCCCGACGAGGAGCCGCTGCTGCTGGCTCCCGCGTCGCATCTGCACGCGGCGCTGGCATCGCTCGGGCGTGTGCATTTGTCCTTCGGCGAGGACCATCGAGGAGCGTCCTTGATCATCTGGCGACAAAACCACGCACGAAGCCCCAAAAAAAAAAACACAGGGAATGGACGTCCGAGCGATGGCCAGCGTGGCGCTGCTGTCGCGGAGCATAGTTCCGTTCGAAGGATTGCACAAAAAAAACCAAGGATTGCACAAAAAAAAAAAACGAAGGATTGCAAAAAAAAAAAAAAAAAAAAAAAAAACCCCTTCGTTCAATCGAAGGTTTTTTTTGTGCAATCCTTCGTTTTTTTTTTGTGTGGTGCTGGGGCCGTTTTTTGTTGGGGGGGGAGGGGCGGCGCGCCACGCTCGGGCCGGGGCGCTGGCGCTCCCGAGTGGTCACGCCGTCCTTGGGCGTGTGGCCACGCGCTGCCAGCGAGAGCCTCGCGTCTGGCTGGGATCCTGCGATCATGCACGTGGGCGCTCGAGCTTATCCCTCACTCTCTCGCTTTCGCTCTCTCTCTCTCTCTCTCTCTCTCTCTCTCTCTCTCTTTTCTCTTCTCTTCTCTCTCTCTCTCTCTCTCTCTCTCTCTCTCTCTTTCTCTCTCTGATAGCATTTTCCCCAAAAAGTGCTTGCACTTAGGGGGTTGTACTTCTGTTCCATGGAACTGCGCCGTGTCTTCGGTCTGGCGGCTATGTGGCCGCCGTCGCCACCTCGTCGCCGCCCGTCGTCTGGGCCGTGTCTTCAGTCTGACGGCCATGTGGCCGCCGTCGCCGCCCCGTCGCCGCCTCGTCGCAACCCGTGAATTGCTACCCGTGATATGCATTGCATTGCATTGCGTTGCAGTACTCGTATTGGTTTGCATTGATTTGCGACGCATTGCTTTGCATGTTTGCATTGCACCGCGTTGCTTTGCACTGCAATGCCGCTGTGGCGGCTAGATTGCCGCCGTCACCGCCCTGTCGCCGCCTCGTAGATTGCGTTATAGTTGTATAGATCATGTGTATATATATGTATATGTATATATGTATATATGTATATATATATATATACACATACATACACATATTGCACATCGTATATTCTGCTTCCTAAAGGGTACTAAGATCTACCCCCCGCCCCTGGATTCAAGCGCCTCCCAATTCGTATTGCAATGTACATATGGTTCTGCCCCATCGCCCATCCGAAATCAGTAGTCATATCATCCCAGGCAGGCCAGTGACGGTTCCACCCTTCATCCGTTGCCAAAAAAATACGCGCGCACAATCGTTTATGAAAAATCATCGGCTTCCAAGAACTTGCTGCAAGAAAATGAGACGAAGTGCACGCGCGCGCGTCGTCGAGCGCATGCCGTTTTTTTGAACAACAAACAAAGGTTTCGTAAGGGGTTCAGAGTCGAGCGTCCCGAAAATCATACGGAAACATGGTTTCGCAACCAGGGGCTTCAACAGAAAAGCTGGCGCTCGCGCTTTTGCAGATTCTCCCAAAAAAGATTGTTTTTTCGACCAGTTCAGAAAATGCTACCAAACAAGCTTCTCGCGCGCGCATGTCGAAATCGCTCGAACGCGCTTGTGCGCGTGCTGTCGCCAGAATCCCGTGCAAAAAAGGAGACGAAGTGCAAACGAGCGCGCCGTCGCGCGCGCATGCCTAAATCTTTCACGAACCGTAGATGTCGTATGGATTTCAAAAACGAGTGTCTCGAAGACCTGTTAAAAAATAAAGAAATGGTTGTGCAACATCGGTTTTTTACAAACACAAAACCTAAACACGTAGGCCCTCCATTGTTATTCAGTTATGCCAAACGGGCCTCTCGCGCCGCGTGTCGAACTCATCCGCACGCCCTTGCGCGTGTGCTGGGTGGGGGGGGGGGGGGCACGATCCGTGTCAAACAATACCACATGGGCCACTCGCGCGCGTCGGCCGCGCGCGCATGTCGAACTCCTCCCAAAGCCTCCATCACCGACGCGAGGACATCGTCATCGTTATCGGCGGGCGCGATCAACATCGGCGCCGTCATTGGCCTTGCCGGCGGAATCGACACCATCGCCACCATCATCGCTATTCTCATCATCGTGTCTACCGTTGTCGGCGTCGCCATGATACCGCTCCCGCCCAAGTCACCCACTCGCACTGAAGCGTCCGCTGGGGAAGTGCGCAGCGGTCAGCATCACCGCCCCCGCATCGGTCGCGCCCTACAAGCTGGCCGCTGCGCGCGCGAGCATGCGCGTGCTAGCGCGGCCGCAGAAACGCACCAGCCAAAGCCAAGCCCGGTATCCCCCTGCCTCATCCTCTTGGAAAAATATTATGCGCGCTCGCTTTATCGAAAACTTTTAGTTTCAAAAAAACCTTGCAAAAAGGGACGAATTGCACACGCGCGCTGTCGCGCGCGCATGCCGACATCCCTCAAAAACCTCAGGCGTCGTAGGAAATTCAGGATCGAGCGTCTCGAAAGTATGTTAGAAAATGGTTTCCCAACAAGGACGTTGCAAAAAAACTGTCGTTCAGACCCGTGCTGGTTCTTAAGAAAACCATCATGTCGGAATCGCAAGGACTCCCTTGCGCGCGTGATGTCGCAAGAATCTGTAGCAAAAAAATTGACGAAGTGCACACTCGCGCGCGTCGCCGCGCGCGCATGCCGAAATCCTAGGCCTGACTGACTCGGGTCTGGACAGACCCGGCTTAGAAGGTCCCCGATGTTTGGCGGGCGCGGGCGCGGCACGGCGGGGGGAATTGACATGGCAGTAGGTTGCCCCGGTTTCGGGAGAAACGGCCTCCAGGCGGACGGGGGCCACCCTTGCGGGCAAGATTCATATCAATGTCCACTGCTTCTTAGACTTGTTGTGGGGAGGCGCGCCACAAGGCCGAGGCACAGTGGACTCTATCCGTGTCCACTGCGCCTCTGGTGTTTAAGGAAGGGAGCCTGAGACTCCAAGATGCAGTGTATATGGGCATACTGGGGGCCCATGCCAAGAAACACCCTTCTTGCCTCCAGGGTCCCCTGGGTCTATTGGGTTTCGATGGTTCTGCGATGGAACGCGTGACGTTCCCACACCAAACATCAAAGCACGTCCTGGGGTC